CCAGTGTCCCATTAACAACATCCAGCCTCACTGCTCCCAGCCTCCACTCTAGTTTCTCGCTTTAATTTTGGCCTGATTTCCTTTGGAGAAGCCTTAACCTTAGCCTTGAAGACCAATTACACCCTCATGGTACCTCTCTGCCTCCCTGAATGGGCACATGATCTTCCATGTCAGCTAACATAAAACCTAAGAGACCACTGGATAAAATAAGATTTCTATTCTGTTTTTGTAGGGAATGACATCACTGTCTTCATAAAATTGTTTTTGTTACCGAAAGCTCAGCACTTGACCTCTGAAAACGTTTAATAACTTTCATGTGACCAAAGAGCTCCCAACAATGAAACTCTCAGGTTTTGTTTTTCCTAATATCAGGAAAAGATTAAACCCTTCCCTGTCTCAGGACTATGAAGGTCACATATTAGTAAAATTCCACCAATGTTTGTGGAGTGCATCAATAAATGGATTCTTGACTTTTAGCCTATTCCTAATCCTTTCCTTTTTATGATTGCATATCTGATTTAATCAATTAAGCCAAAAACCCATCAGGATTGACTGGGCGGAGCTTTAGGAAACTAATCATATGTCCCATTCTGATTGGTAGTTAGTAGTTTAAAAGAGTTGGTATGATGGGAAGGTCGAAAAAAGTACCTGAGGAGCAACTGGAGAGACCCAGAAATCTGGAGCCTGGAGTTTCTGTCTGGTTCTCTGTGAGATCTGAGTACTCCACCAACCGAATCCTGACCTGGTAAGTCCTTGATCTCCGTGAGGACATGTCCATCTGATCTAGCATCAGCCAGTCTTGAGTTGTGACATGCAGCCCAAGGTGGCATGGAGAATTTTTGCTTTTTCTATCATTTAATATGAATAGACTTACAGCTTTGATTTTTGCCCCTCAATCCAGTGTTGCCTTCATCTCAAATATTTCAATTAGTGCATGGTTTATTTATTTATTTTTCTGTAGCCCAATCTGATCTGCAGCAGAGGTGCATGGTTTATGTCATTTTAAAATTTCTTAACCAAGTAGATTTTTTTTTTTTACAAAAAACTAAAAACATCTAATTGAGTGGAATTTTATTTCTTGATAGTTTAGATATTTAGTTTATGTGCCCTTAAAACATAATTCATCAGCTTTACAGATTTGGAATTTAGACTTTACAAAAAACTAAAAACAGCTAATTGAGTGGAATTTTATTTCTTGATAGTTTAGATATTTAGTTCATGTGCCCTTAAAACATAATTCATCAGCTTTACAGATTTGGAATTTAGACTTTCTTTTTTATGAAAAACTTAAAAAAATTCTATAAAATCTTTATAGGAGTGGGGTCTTTGTTATGAACATGGGCTCTATTTCCTCCCCTAGACTCATCCCAAAGTGGTGTAAGAAATGTGTAAGTGGCTGGGTGGGTGGCTCACGCCTGTAATCCTAGCACTCTGGGAGGCCGAGGCGGGCGGAT